CTGCAAAAAGGTAGCAGCACAAATATACTTCAGCACCTAAAAATCATCCCCTGCATAATGATGAATGTTGAAAACACTGCATTTCAGCATCTCCCTGCACACCAATTAAAACATTAAATAAATCAGCTGTGAACCCGATGACGTTGGCCTCGTCGTTTGAAAAAGCGATCCCATATGAGAGAAATATTAAGGGATGGAGGGAAATCGTAGACGTTATTTAAATGTTGTTTAGATGCTCTAATAATGATGTTGTCTTGTTCAGAGGTTTTGTAGGCATATTCTAAAATTTACAACTTTTTGGGCTTCTATAAAATTCCCAGCATGTAAAGATGAATTCAAATAGTTTTGAGAATAATGCTAATAATGCTATAATATTTTCAGGAAGCTGACTCCAACACCGTTTTAGATGCTTTCCTTATCATCTTACTCCTTCTAAATACATGTTGAGCAGGCCAGTCACTTAAAATGTCCATAAAATATATTTCAGCTTGTGTTTGCAACATTCTAAAAGGTGGGGAAAAACGTAAGCGTTTGAACATTTATTAGGGAATATTTTTCACTCAGCTAGCATGTGAGTTGTTTACGAGTTTGTACAAAGTTCATGTAGGATGATACTTTCCAAGAAACAATTAAAAAAGAAAAATGTGCAATAATTTGTCCTACATCAAACAAACCGGAGGCAATGATTCAGCTGACAGCATTATTCACCTTGAATAGTCTTTATGGACATCCAGGGAGTGGGTGTCCAGCAACAGCCCACACCACGGGAAGAGACAGTGAGGAGGCAGGACGCGGATGCCGGGGCAAGAATCCACGCTTCCTGATACTTGGAAGTTAACCACCACCTTCTGTGGATTGACCACGAGGCCATACTGTGGAACTCCCGCCAGCAGCGTACTACACACACAGTTCAGGTTCAAGTCTCAGAAACGTAGATAATACATATATATGATGGCTTTATCTAAAAAGGTGATGAAATATAGTTAAAAATATTCATTTAAATGTTTCCCTGGGTGTCGTACTTCAGAAACGTTTGTGCATGGTGTTGGTCTGGCGTAATGAGGAGGAAGTCGTCCACCAGTCTCATCAAACACCTGCAGAAAAAACATGTAGAAGCAGAAGATGCAGAAACACAGAGGTAGAAACACTGCCCTCTGCTGGAGCAATGGATCAACTGCTCTGGAGTACCCTTTGCTTTTAGTGATGTCTCTGAACAGAGTGTTCTCCATGTGGCCGTAACACAAACAGCAGAGCAGACTGGACACCACGGATCCCTGAGGAATCCCTCGGCACTGGCGGTATGTCCTGCAACACACAAGGGCCACGTTTAGAAATAAATAAGATTAAACACACAAGGAGGTTTAATGGGAAAATAAAGGGTTTACTTCTTTCCATACTGAACGACACTGCCTGTTAGCATTTGGGTGAAGAACTGGGAGGCTGCTCTGCCTCGAAGATCAGAGGAGAACTGCTGTGAAAATAAACGGAAGTGTTGGAAAATCTCATCATAAAAAAGCCTTAAATTTGATCAAAGTATTACCTGTTCCACTAGGATAGCGTGGTGGATTTTTCCACTTTTCTCCATCGACATTAAAAATCCCTTCATGTTGGTGGATCCCATGCTGTCCTCCAGGAAATCTGCCTATAGCAACAAAAGGAACGCAAAAACTGCTTAAAATATCTGACGTCTTTACATGACCGAACAGGATGAATATATTGACTTAAGTTTCCCCCAAAAAAGTGCATGCAAAACTTTTTGTATATTTATGGAAAACACAATTTTAAAACAATGCAACTTCAATCTCTAAATCATGTATGGGTGT